TTCTACTCCTACATGAGGATGTTAACTCCTGATTCGATAACCATGACTTGTCGATGGAGATTTTCGGGATGAAGTACCCATCTGCATACATATTCTTCTCGAAATTTCGAACTTGCTCCTGTACAATATGAAGAATGTCATAATAAATTGTATTCATAGTAATAAAAAACAAAACAATAATACAATGACTTTAATGTTTACCGATGTGTAATGAGGCATGCTTCTCCCATTCACTTTGCTAACACCATCCCACAACTCCATATATTTTAAAACAAACAATCCACAATCATATCTGCACAATTGAATGTAGTTATTACACACGTTACATACAACATTTTGCAAACAAAATTTCAACTATAATAACATACTAACATGTTTGGTTGAATTGGCAAGTCCTCCTTTGTAACCTTAAGCTCACCGAGTGGTCCTCGATGACTTTGTTTCCAACAACGACAATAGATGTTCAAAACATTGCAACTTGTTCACAATATTACATTATTCACCAAATAAACATAGCTCTGAATTAACAATATTACCTACGTAAACAACTTAAAACAAATATTTACCATAGCTCTATCAATTGGTTTTCGTGATCTATTATCATGGCCCAACGAATCTAATATAAACAGTTCTCTATCCTTACATTTCAAGACATAACACCACCAATGACCATTGTGTACGATGGGAGCAAAAATCGAAATAGAAAAAACTCTGGTTAATTGAATTTTATCTTGACAAATATATAAATTTAAGGCAAAGTATAAATACTCACAAATTCACAACTTAATAACTCGCTGCAATGGAATAATTGTATTTGGATAGAAAAGTGAGAAGTCTTTCATTGTCCACGTCGATGTGTTCCCTTTGCGAATATACATTTGTTCAATCACTTGTGTCTATCAAAAGGCACAAAAATAAATGACAATCAATGATAATAAACCTATGTGTAACTTAACTTTTTAAATGCACAATAAACATACCGCAAACAAAGGATTGAAACAAAAACGTTGAATGCTGCCACCAGTGACATTCATTTGGTCATACATCATTAGACTACTTGCAAACAGCATCACCTAACAACCCATATGATATTAATAAATATAATTTTTAAAAATATATTGAATCACACTTTTTCATTAAATAAACAAACTTACCATATTGTCAATATGACCCCTGGGCTTTAATGTGTGCAAGTTCTTCATAGTCAATATCTGCCCATGCACTTCCACTACAACACTGAAATACAATAATGGATTACATTGCATTTTATACTAATTAAATTGAATGAATGTAATAAATTTGATTTTATACTAACCGGTTTGGATTATCAAGGTTGGTGGTGCAAAACTTATAAAATTGATACATGTCATCATCCTCACCAATCCCCTTCACCTTTATCGATGACTTATTCATGTGAATCCCGATTTGTTCTTTCAAAATTTTAACTTCACGTTCAAGTTGAATGATCCTTTTTTGATTTTCTTCGTTTTAGATCTCCATATGCGTCTGGTCCGATAAAAGTTGTTGCAAGTCACATGACGCACCACTGGAGGAAGGTATGTCCGTATTCTCAATTTGTGAATGCGTCAAAGCTTCTTGCACAACTTTCATTGTCCGATCATCCGCAGACAAGTGCCCAATCCCATACAATCTAACATATAAAGGAAAACTTTATATGTTAGGAACATAATATAATAAGTCCACATTTTTAAGGAAAATTTATATATGTTGTACACAAAATTTCTTACATTGTTTGAGATGAATACACGTTCTATTTTGGACCTTCGAATGTTCACTTTAGGCCATTCAACAAAACGCGGAAAACAAATCTTTCGTGGTGGATCGGTAGGCAAAGACAGGTGCTCCACTGCCCGGATCTATTACATAATAAAATGTCATCGATCACAATAATTTCATATCAACTAATAAATCAATCATTTGTAAGAAAGTTACCCGTAAGACGGCCACACAACCAAGCAACGTACAATTGAGAAGCATTTTTTTCCTCGTTTAACTTTCTACTAGCACGATGCAAACTATTAACTAATAAACCGTGCACAACATTTCCCCAATTATAATTATCTAATGCCTCTAAATCATCTAATAAACTAAAAGGAACACTATGAACGGTGCGGGATGTGCGAGGAAAGTAAAAAACCGCCCACCCAAGTAGGATATAAAGCCTACAAAAATCAACTACATATTTAACATGCTTAATTTTTTCCCTTTCAGCTTCCTAACTATATTTGTTACTCGTTATTGGTTCCTCTTCGTCGAATAAATCTTTTACTAAACATGAACCACTATCTTCTAAAACAACTACCTCCCCCTTATACGTAAACCTAACGAAAAACAAACATCTAAAGGGGTGAATGGGACAAGATATTGTTTTATTCTAAAACAATGATCACTAACGGACCATCGACTAACTAGTTCTCTTATAATATTGCTTGATATTTGCAATGGCTCTTTTATTTGAAGAAGCCATTTAAACGGAGTTTGTTCAATAGTTGCTCGTTGGTGTTTGGTCAACTTTGAATTTATATCGGCTATATACTCGTCTCAATCTTGTGTCTTAATCTTATCTCGCAAATATAACATGTATAACATATATAACATACATAACATATAACAAATTGAATATTTAGTAAATCACTTTTCATAAAAAAACTATAATTAACATGCACATACCTTTTCTCGTCAAGACGGTCTCTTTTTTGCGGACATTTTTTCCCAAACTAATCCTCGTTACAAATTATTAAAATTGTAACTTACAATCACAAAATAGTACAAACAAAAAAATTAAGTCCAACCATGTTACACATACTTTTGGTCAAATTGTGAATTATGCAAATGTGGGTGTAAATCTTGTGCATATTATACAAAATGTTTGTCATGCAAATACAATTCTTTCATTGTAGCATTTCATCAAACACTTGTTGGACATTAATATAGCATCACAACTCAATTAACCCTAAACCCTACAAAATACTTTCATTACAAACCCAATCAAAGATAAACAGAAAACAAAGCAACAATGCGCAAATACAATTCTTCATTATAGCATTTCATCAAACACTTGTTCGACATTAATATAGCATCACAACTCAATAAACCCTAAACCGTGAAAAACACCTTCATTACAAACCCAATCAAAGATAAACGAAAAGAAAACAACAATGGAAACCTAATCAAAAATACACACAAAATCAAGCAAATGTTGTTAAACGAACACTCACCACCGCAGGGTCGCTCAAGCAACACACAGTGATGTTCAGCTCCAACGACACGGACGAAGCCAAGCGACAGGAAGTCAAGCGCCGTCAAGAGCGAGATGGAGAAATTTTACCCTAAGTCGAGGGAGAAGAAGTCGAGCGAGGAAGAGCGCGAATGTGAAAAGCGAAAATCAATGTAATAAAGAACCATACCCTTTTTCTAACATTTAGATAGCGGTTATTTGGCCAACCACTATCTAAACTATACATTATGATCGATTATTATGCAATTATAATCGATCATAATCTATGACTTTAGATAGCGGTTATTTGGCCAACCGCTATCTGAACTATGCATTATGATCGATTATTACCCAATTATAATCGATCAGTTTTATATATATGACTTTAGATAGCGGTTAATTGGCCAACCGCTATCTCGAACTATACATTATGACTTTAAATAGCGGTTATTTGCCCAACCGCTATCTCGAACTACATTTATTATAGCGATTATTTTGCCAACCGCTATCTAAGGTCGCCTACGCTCGAGCGACTATGTAATCGCTTGAGCGACAATGGATGATTGAACCTTTACCAAACGAAAGTAAACTCCTGCAAATCCCGGAAGGAGAAAGGTGTACCCTTGAGTTACTTTTTCTCATATGAGCTCAGTATAAAGGCGCCAAGAGCTTTCTTATTCACTCTTGGCGGGGACTACTACTGGGAAAGCAAACCAAAGATGCGAAAACTTTTTATGTCGTTAGTCGCTTGGGCGCTTACTCGCTCTCGTCTATGCCCTTGGTTTTTCTAACATTTAGATAGCGGTTATTTGGCCAACCGCTATCTAAACTATACATTATGATCGATTATTATCCAATTATAATCGATCATAATCTATGACTTTAGATAGCGGTTATTTGGCCAACCGCTATCTGAACTATGCATTATAATCGATTATTACCCAATTATAATCGATCAGTTTTATATATATGACTTTAGATAGCGGTTAATTGGCCAACCGCTATCTGAACTATACATTATGACTTTAGATAGCGGTTATTTGCCCAACCGCTATCTGAACTACATTTATTATAGCGGTTATTTTGCCAACCGCTATCTAAGGTCGCCTCGCGCTCGAGCGACTATGTAATCGCTTGAGTGACAGTGACAGTGAACCTTTACCAAACGAAAGTAAACTCCTGCAAATCCTGGAAGGAGAAAGGTGTACCCTTGAGTTACTTTTTCTCATATGAGCTCGTACAAAGGCGCCAAGAGCTTTCTTATTCACTCTTGGCGGGGACTACTACTGGGAAACCAAACCAAAGGAGCGAAAACTTTTTATGCTGTTGGCTGCTAGGGCGCTTACTCTGCTCTCGTCTATGCCCTTGGTGTGACGCAGCTGGGTATCAATTTGACTTTCGGATCTTTAGGTGGCACTCACTTGCCCCGTCTTTGCTCTACAAACTCATGGAAAGGCAGGAGCCTGGAAGCCAGGAAGAACGACCCCTTCAATTCTTCTATAACATCCCCCATTTTTACAATATTACATATCTGAACCCATACAATTTTACTAATCAAACCCTTATTTTTAATTAATTTCTTTTTAGCCCCGATTGTCTAACAGTTGTTTGTTTTCGGTTGTCAATGAATCGTTTTCCTAATTTAAATTTGTAATTTCAAACGTGAGTTTGAGCTGATAGTTTATGTTGTCATGCTTCTTCTCAGTTTGAATAAATTGAAAGCGTTGTGAGAAATAGAAATGAGTGAGCAGGTGTTGTAGTAATGGTGTGGCGTGATGAAAAGAAGGAAGCAACAATGTCCATGGATCCCCGCGCGAGGCACGCACGAGCCCTAATATCCAACAACACAGACCGCGCAGTGTGGAACAACCTCATAACCCACTACTCCAAATCCAACCTCTCATCCTACGCCCATTCCCTCTTCCACCGACTCCCTAATCCTCCCAACGTCGTCTCATGGACCGCTCTCATCTCCGCCTACTCCAACACCCTCCTCTCCCTCCACCACTTCCTCGCCATGCTTCGCCACCCCACTCTCCCCAACCACCGCACCCTCGCCTCCCTCTTTTCCTCATGCGCTGCCCTCTCCTCCCTCTCCTTCGCGCTCTCCCTCCACTCCCTCACTCTCAAACTCGCCCTCGCTCGCCATCCCTTCCCCGCCTCCTCCCTCCTCTCACTCTACGGCAAGTTCCGTATGCCCCTCAATGCCCGCAAAGTGTTCGACGATATTCCCCACCCGGATAACGTCTGTTTCTCCGCCTTGGTCGTTGCTCTCGCTCAGAATTCCCGCTCTCAGGACGCTTTATCCATCGTTTCCGACATGACACGTCGGGGTTTTGCGTCCACCGTTCACAGCGTTTCGGGGGGTTTGCGCGCTGCGGCTCAACTTGCTGCCTTGGAGCAGTGTAGAATGATGCATGCACACGTAGTTGTTGCGGGGCTCGATTCCAATTTGGTGGTGGGTAGTGCTCTCATTGATGGGTATGGTAAAGCAGGTGTTGTTAACGATGCGAGGAGGGTTTTTGAGGATAGTTTATCTTATATGAATATTGTGGGGTGGAATGCAATGATGGCTGGTTATGCACAGCAAGGGGATTATCAATCTGCTAATGTACTGTTTGAGTCTATGGAAGGTTCTGGACTTGTGCCCGATGAGTATAGCTTTTTAGCTATCCTGACTGCCTTGTGTAATGCTGGGATGTTTCCGCAGATTGATCAGTGGTTTACGAGGATGAGAGTGGATTATGGTTTGGAGCCGGGTTTGGAGCATTTTACCTGTTTGGTGGGTGCAATGGCACGTACCGGAGAATTTGAGCGTGCTGAGAGCACTGTCTTGACTATGCCGTTTGAACCAGATGCTGCAGTTTGGAGAGCTTTGCTATCGGCTTGCGCTTATCGTGGTGAGGCTGACAGAGCTTGGTATATGGCTAAGAGGGTACTGGAGCTAGAGCCGCATGATGATTATGCGTATGTTATTGTTGCTAACGTGTTATCGAGTTTGGGGAGGTGGGATGATGTTGCAAAATTGAGGACGATGATGAAGGATAGGGGTGTGAAGAAAAAAGGCGGGAGGAGTTGGATTGAAGTGCAGGGAGAAGTTCATGTGTTTGTTGCGGGAGATTGTAAGCATGAGAGGTCCAAGGAAATTTACCAGAAGTTGGCAGAGCTTATGGGGGATATTGAAAAATTAGGGTATGTTCCTGTCTGGGATGAGGTGTTGCATAATGTTGGGGAGGAGGAAAAGAGAAGGGAGGCTCTTTGGTATCACAGTGAGAAGTTGGCTGTTGCGTTTGGAGTGTTGTGTGGATCTGCACCACCAGGGAAGTCGTTAAGGATTGTGAAGAATTTGAGGATTTGTAAGGATTGCCACGAGGCTTTTAAGTATATGACAAGAGTTTTAGAAAGGGAAATTATCGTGAGGGATGTCAACAGATACCACAGATTTGTTAATGGTAACTGTACTTGTAGAGACAGGTGGTAGATTATACAAATGACAGTGAACATGTTTGAGGCTTGTTTCTAATGACAAATGATATTGAGAAGGAAAACTGATTTGTTCACATAATGGTAAATATTTTTCTTACTATAGTTCTATAGTTTGCTTTCCTGTTTTCTTTCGGCATTTTGGCCTCTTTTTGAGTTAGATCAAGTTTAAGATATTGCATCACAACCTTTTAAGTGAAGGAAGACAGGTGAATTGTGACTTTGAATTTTTACCACATAGATTTCTGTCACAAACAGAGATATATATGGAACTTGTGTTATTCCCTCAGATTGTTTGTTGTTATCTCATGATTATTGCATGAAATGCAGCTAAGGAGGCCGGGCAGGGCAGGGGCAGCACGCCACTTAATCTACTTGACATATTATGAGTGAATAACATTCTGAAACTCGAGGTGACTAGGTGAGGACACTTTGTGTCTCTTTTTGCTCTAGTCTATGGTTTTTATTTTATTAATGAAAAAAGAATGCTATAATCATCATAAGAAATACAAACGGGAATGCCCTCTCACCTAATAAAATCAACAGTTCTAATACCATAATTGGATAAAAATCATAAGAAACTCCCTCTCACCAGATAAAATCAACACTTCTAATACCATAATTAGTATAAGCGCACCAATTGCCTTGTCTATAGATATAGGAAAATCTGAAATTCACCCTATTAACCAAACCCATAGCATTAGACCATCTGTTCCTTAAATCTCTAAGGAACTAACATATTTACAGTGAGTAAAGAAATTGTTTCAACCTTTACCAAAATCAACCGTTCTTATTAGCTACCCTCCAAAGTAAAAATCACTCTCATTAGCTCAGGTTCAAAGGCAATGTCACCTCAGGCTGATACTAGAAAAACATCCCATATTTTCAGCCTTCGATTCCTAAACAATGCCCACCTCAAGCTGATAAATTCCCATTCTATAAGTAGGTGTCATCCGTGTTGCATTTAATCCATTCAGAAATTCGAGGATACCAGTTAACTTGTGATATTTTTTACCTTCCTTTACTTGCAAGGAACATTAAAAGCTTTTAAAACTTTCAATTCAGACGTAAGAGAATTCGTACTTCCTGAACAAAAGGAACCAGATAAATTAAGGGCAGAAACTATCTTGTTTTTAATACGCTCTGATAAGGCATGATCTAATTATCAAACTTGATCCTATTTCTACTCTTCCAAATCTCAGCTCTGAAGTGTAATTATTTTAATCTAACCTAAAACTAAAGTTAATAGGACTCAAGGTTTAGATAAACTGAAGTTTAAGACAATTAATTTTATCTAACAATTATCAAACATCTATATTTTTACAACAAACCGATTCTCATGATCTCACCATAAAGTCGAATGTTCTTAGGTCATTACAATTGACAAATAATTCAATATCATAGTAGCGTCAATCGACTTGTTTTTAGGTAAATAACATTAAAATCTTGCTATATTCCATGTTTACATAGGGAGAGACACAGAATAAACACTGACACATAAACCGAAAGTGGAGAAAAATAAAAAACAACTTGTATCCTGACTTCTTGTTTTGATTTATATGGAAACTTCGTCTTAATTACATTTTTCCTTCTTTCCAGTTTAATCAGTTCAAAACCTGCATCAAATACTGAGAGACATAGGTGAAGAATGGGAGAGAATGAAGTGGAGAAAGATTGAATGTTTTTGGAATTAGAGAGAAAAAAGGGTTCAGGGCCCAATGTCAACACTCATCAGACTGTAACAGCCTACCAGTTAAAGAAGTGAAGATTTCGTCACCGTTGAGGAAACGGGCAATGTCCTCTTATTAACTAAGTTATTAGCATTTTTTATTTTTTTTCTTAATATACTGATCATAAAGAGTCACTAATTAGATTAAGAGAAACTAAATAAAATAAGAGAGATACTTTTCATTCTAATTATTATATTTTTAAAATTTAATAATTCTAATGATTAATTAATGTTACCAATGAGGTTTCTATAAATATATATATGAAGAGGAATGTTATGAAATTCGAGAATCTATATACATTAGGATGATATCAAATTCAATGGACTCAACTATTGACTTGCCTTATGGGGTCTATTTCATGATATAATTCCCCCACACTAAAATATATAAGTTGATATAATATATCAACAACAAAAAATAAGTTCTTAAAAGCAATAAGACAATAATTAAATAATTAAAAAAAAAAAACATAACTCTTATCAAGTTTATACGTCTTTATCTGATTAAATCATTCTCGTATTCTTACCACCATCGAAAAATCAACTTTTTCGTTGTAGGAGAAGTGTACGATAACATTGGCATAAAAAATTATGTCTTCAAACTAAAAAATAACGTCATCAATCTCCAATGCACGTAGAGTAGGATCTTATAAATTTGCTCCACCTAAGTCAATATTTTCAACCTAGTGTAAATTGGTTCGATTTTACATTTTCAATTTTTTAAGCATACCACTTTTTTTAAGATGAATTAATATTTCAATATAAACTAGTTGATAATTTGTGAATTATTTTTATTTATACTAACAAGTAAATATTTTTAAATTTAGAGAATTCTTGAGAATAAGTTTTGACTATAATCATTTAGTTCTTAATTATAGATATTGATCAAACTTCTATCAAGGATTTTTCAATATTAGTTCAAACGTTAAAAGTTAAAAAGTAAAGTGTGATAAAAATAAATGTGCATGAAAACTAAACGTGCGAGAAATATAAATGTGCAGGAGGAGTAAGTTGTTGAAAAAGTGAATCTAACCCATTATCAAGGATAAAAGAAAAAGTGATAAAGAAACACAATTAAAGTGATGATCTAAATTTCCAAGAACTATTGAAATAATCTTTCTTTGTTTACGATATCTTTTTAGAATGTAAGTGTCTTAATACAATTTGTCATCCTTAATTATACTTATTTCATCCTATTTATACTTTATTTTGTGTAACCACTAAGAGAATAAAAAAAATACAAATAAAAAAAAATGGTTTCCTATTAACCTTTTTTCCTCCTTTTTCGAGCAATTCCATTGTCACGTAGTACTTATAATGATCCATGTCACATAGAGGGGTTATAACTACTTCTGCATGCTTCTTGATTGTATAACTCCTTCTCGATCCCTTCTCTTTCTCCATTAACCCTTTCTCGATATCTTCCTTCCTTTCTCAATTTCTCTAAGTTTTACATCTTGATAACTCCTTTTTAATATCTCCTTGTTCCTTCTCGATTGTGTAACCCTTTCTTAATACCTCCCTAACCTTTCTTGATTTCTCTAAGTCTTTGATTTACCATTGAAAACATTATCTGGTTCTACCAATTTGTTTCATGATTTTTTCATCAAATTATGATGAACCTTCGATTCTTTGATCTCTAATTATTATCTTGTCCCTTTTTCGATTTCCCTTATTATGAATCCTCAATTCTCTGATTCTCCCCGACCACCTTGCTTTCATCACAATTTCTCTTTTACTTACTACTAAATCTTAATCTTTTGATTTTTCGATTTTGCACTTTCGATCACTTGCTTCTCTTGATCTCGATTTATTATACATCTCTCGATTATCGATCACTCTCAATCCTGAACATCTAGATCTTGATTATTACCTTCTCGATCTTTATCTTGATCTCGATCTCTATTTTTACCCTATCGGTCTCTATCATCTCGATATCAATTTTTACCATCAATCTCAATTTTCACCCTTTTGATCTTTACCATCTTGATCTTGATTTTTTATCGTCTCAATCACCATTTCTCATTTTAAAGTTTAATATTTTTTTCTAGCTCATTCTTTCGATATACTTGTAAATTTGCCAATAACAAAATGTTCCTAAGAGAATATGAAACATATCTCGATAAGTGAATATTCTCTTAGTACAAACCAAATTCTTGATACGCCCCTCCTTTCCAATTTTGTAACAAAAAAAATATCTTTTACTTACTTCAAGATCTTAACAAAAAATTGCTTTTCACCATACTTTCATTATTCTTTTCATTTACCCTCATAATTGCAAAAAATTCAAAGTATTTTATTCTTAAAAGCCATCATTTATTGAGTCGTTATTGACTTAATGTGGGCTAAACTTAAGGCCCATTTATTATAGGTTTATTTTTTTTCGCGAACTTCCCTTCTTTGAAATAAAAACGTCTCGTATTCTTCATTGTCACTATCTACGAATTTTTAGCGCATTCTATCCTTTTTATCTCTTTAGAGAATTCCATCTTCAACTCTCACTTTCCTTTATCGTTTATGCTAAAATGACATCTTCATCTACTATTTCTCAAATATTTGGTACTACTATGATTTTCTCAATCATTGGTGAGCCTATTGACTTTCCTTCTTCCAAAGAAGGAAATGAAGCACTTGTTGAATTTGATGAAGACATATGAAGTATCATTGTATTTCGTTTGTGTGTGTGTGAGTAGATAGGTTATAGGTTTAGAATTTAATCTCTTGATACTTGTAATATATCTTGTGAGAGCACCTATAACTGCTGCATATCATAGAATTTATCATACTTCATAAAAAAAACAACCTTTAAGCTTTGAAAGAACAAATTTCTTTTAATCTGTTAAAAAGTAGTTTTAATCGATTAAAATTGCTTTAAATAGGAAATGTATATGTACAACCGACTTTTTAATTGATTAAGTCATAAAAACAACATATTGAAATGTTCTTGATGTTTTTTTTTATGTTAAGGGTTTCGCAATTTTAATCTGTTAATTGACAAATCAACAGATTAAATTATTCTAAGTCATAATTCATGTTTTGAGTACCTTAGGTTTTTTAATATGTTAAAACAGAGAGTTATCATTTTTTATTCTAGCAGTTTTAATCGATTAAAAGCTCGAATTAATCGATTAAAATAGTTTTAAATGAAATCAATCGATTAAAACATCATTTTAATCGATTAAAACTGTCATTTTTTCTCTTTTTCTCTATAAATATAGTTTTGATTTCTCTTTTATTACACACAATTTAAAATCGATTGTAGACACCAA